CTTCTTTTGGGTTTTTCAGGTTTTGAATGGTATTTTGTGATGTAGTAGGGGCAACAGCAGGGAGCTGCAATCCGAGCTAAGAGAGTCAGCAGTCCCATGCCCCTACACAGTTTGCTCATGACAAGCTGTGTTGCGGCCACATGCCTCCATGTTAGCAACAAATGCTTGGGAGAGTATATTCAAAACCAAATTAACCAAATTAAATCAATTAGTAAAGTCATTTCTTTAAAACTTCTTTAATATTTGTTCTCTGCAGTGTCATAGCATAAATAGCATTTAAAGATTGTCACAGGGAATCAAAACTCAGAAACATTCACTACAGATAAGAAATGGAAAGAAAGACAAAAGTGTCACCATTCAGGCAGCAAGCAAGATCACCAGAAGCCACACGAGAATGATGAATGTGACCGTTTGCTGTGAAGTCATCTATCTGTCCTGGACTCTTCTCTACTGTTTGTGTGATTGATATGAAATATCAGAATCCTTCCTACACAAACATGCAATTATGATGTGAAAATGACCGCTTTCCCTGTTTCACTGTTGAACAGAAGATGATCCCATTTTATTCTAATAGCCAAAGATCAAAATTAGTCTTAGGACACACAAAAAATGTGTTTTGAATGTTTTTAAGTTTTTTTCCCTCAGTTTTTTTCCCCTGTCTGAAGAAGCTTTTAAATTGTCACATAAATTTTACTTATTTAGACAGTAACCATGTCTTCTTGACATCTAATTCTGTCTCATAAATGTCCTTTAAAAGTAGCAATACATCAACATAATTAAAAAATAAAAGTTGAGATTTATAATCCCTCACTGCTAAAGGCATAACTTCACTTTCATATTGACTTTTCACTCTACAATAGCTTATCGTCTCCTAGCTTCTCCAGCTAACAGGAAATACGATTGCAATCTTTCCATTGTATTGCTGCAAACTGAGAATTCAATAGGCATTTTTAACTCACTGACCTTCCCATTGCAAACCAATCTCCTTACTGATCGTGGGACCACAGATTCAGGGCAAAGAAAGAGTTGGATTTGGTTGATTGTTTTTACTTTTCCTTACGTAAGTGAGCATTACGTAAGTGAAACTGAGGGACAGGAGAAATGTTGAAAGAAATAGTTTTGCTTGATGAAACACAAATTCAAGCAGATTCAAAAAAAAAAAAAAAAGAGATTATTTTTTGTTATCCCAGAGATTAATCTTCTTAATGAAGCACAAAGATTAAAGAAAAAAATTTCCAAGGACTATCATATTAAATGACCAGCAAATTCCAGGGCCAAATCCATCCAAATATAACTTCAGTGGAATAACGCTAGAGTTTGCTTTCATCACCTTGCTTTCACAGTCTAATTTCTCATTAAAAGTTCATGACATAATGAATGCACATCTTTTTTTTCTAAGAAGATAGTGTTATCATCTGACCACCTAAAGGAGGTACAACCAGCAATTACATCAAAGAAAGAAAGGCACCAAAAGGCACCAAAAGGCAATAAGAAATGAATGCCACAGGGTCTTGTTACTCTATTACTCCCCTCTTCCACCACCTTCCACCACTTTTCTATTCCAATGAATGCCCTTCTTTTTTCAGTAACATAGTTTTATATAGCAGCACAAAGTAATTGGTTACTGCAATCAATAATTACTATTCATCTCATTTCTGTAGATGGCCTTTGAGGCTCACTAACTCCTAAGCCAAAAACAGCTGACTTCACCCTCTTCCTGTGGATCACAAAGGAGGATTTCGGATTGGATTGATATAAAGCCATGCCGTTAGGCTTCTCCCATGGAAGTAGCACTGATGATGATGAGATCAAGGCAAGCAAGGGGCCTTTTTTGTGGCCACATCCCATACGTGCAGAGACATGATGGAGGGAAGTAGCCTGTGCTTTTGGAGATGTCAGGGCTGACCTGAAGAGCATTGCACATGCTGCCACAGAGCAGTGTGAAATCTTACTGCAAGGTAAGGGGCTCAGGAAGGTGGCTTGGACTAACGTCTATCGACTGCAAAAGCCACTTTCATGTAACTGTAATGAAAAAGAGCCTGGTCAATCCATTGTTTAAAGGCTGAGCAGAATGAGATAAGTGCAAAATCAAAAACCAGACTGCACTACCATTTTCCAGTACTTTAAAACCTGTATTTCTGATAGACCAAACTACACCACAGTTCAGTGTAAATGTACACCGAGGCCAGGTGCATTCCCATTGAATGCCACTGGAGCCCATTCATAGTCCACTTCAGAGAGGCATGCCTGCATTTCCCACAGCGAGCAGGACTGAAGGAAATAAGTCACTCACAAGAAGGCGGACAGATTTATTTCAGGGGGAAGGATGCTCTGGAAAGACAAAGTCAGTGGAGTGACTGCTGTGGATGGTCCAGACCTCCTCATGCAGAGCCCAGGGAGCCTAAGGCAATGCCGTAAAAGCTGGAGTCAGAAGGTACTATTCTTCAGTATGCAAAGTAAATGAGAAGGCATTTTGACAGGCAGGCAGCCCGAGACAATATGCACACTGACCGCAAAATACCTGCAGGATTGTGCTGCAGACAAATGGAAACGTTCAGTCCAGAATAGGGTGGACATCTGTGTCCCCAGGAAAAGGGCCCCGCTTAACTCAAGAACACCTTCTTAAAGACAATTTTAGCAACCAAGATAAATCTCCTGTTCAGTTAAAAAGATTCTTTGGAAAGTCTTGTCTCAGCGTACATTTGAATAATTTAGAGAACATGGGAATCTTATCCCTGAAAGATAATTCACCAATTTAAGTTAAGTAGATGCATTAAAACAAACCATACAGACATGCCAATTTAGTGAACCTCTTTATGGAAAAAAAAAAAAAAAAAGATTTGGTCTCTTTTTTTAATTATTAGTAGTTTTCTTTGCAAGCAAAAGAACAATTTACAATAAAAGCTAATTCTCATTCTAATGAAACTAATCAAACAACTCGTGAGCCTGCAAAGGTTTATCCATGTTTTTATCTGCAGTCTGTTGAGTAGTCCCAATGATTTAAGGGTAATTATTCATACTAAAGGGGTCACACAGATCACATCGGTATTTAAACTGCACCTAATGTATGTTGGCTAAAATACATACTAAGAAGAGCCAGATAAGATTCGTCTCCTTGCAAAAAAAAAAAAAATCAATATTGGAGGAGCAAACGAGGTAAAGATCAACAAGGAGAAATTTCAGGAGATCCTTTCCTAAGCCCTCATATATTGCTATAGAAGATCAAATATACATTTGTCTGTAAGGGAGCATGGGGATGGCTCTTTAATTGTACATCTGTTCCTAAATCATGCACCGTGACTACAGCTTACTTAACAGGAAATCAATGTTATCAAAAGACCTGGAGCTACTGCCTATGCTTGCAGGAAGGTGGGGTCCTCCATGATTTAGTATTTTTCATCTCTGGCACCTGTGACCATCATTTCCAAATTATGGTTCATAGGTTCACAGTAAGTTCTGTATCACTGGTACAAAAATTCATATCACCCACTGGAAAATAACAGGAAGTAATTTAGCTAGAAGGGTGAGAGCTGGTCCATAAGAACACAATCATGGTTTTTTGCTCCTGTACAAGGATAGTTAACAAGACAGTAAATAGCAGTGGTAAACACACCTGTAGCAAGACATATATGTGAATTTGCAAAAGAAAAACGTTGTCACCAGGTACACCCAGTCCTTCCCTTCCCCTGCCTTCCTCCCATCCTCACATATGCATTGTGCTTACCGTGCTCTTTCAAAACATTTACTCACCCTCACCACATGCTGAACTGAAGAACTTTTACAAGATTTGATTCTGTCAGTAAAACTCTTAGTCAACACAACAAATCCTCAAATACTCCAAAAATCATTTCTAAAGGATTTATATGGCTTTTGTGGTCAAGCTGTCAATTTGATTATTCTTTTAATATTTGGAAAGCATAGCTATAATGATTTCCAAATCTCACTCAGACTGAAATACTTTCAGATGCACATAAAACATTGACTTGGTTTGCTGTAAACTTATAGGACACACTTACACTCTAGGTAAGTAAGGGGCACAGCAAAGCTCATCCAGCTAAGCCTGCCTCCCTCCTGCCCAGATCAGGGAACTTACCAAAATGTCCCAAACTTCCTTTCCTCCCAGTATAAGCAGATTTCCTTCTAACTAACCGAGCTGCAGGGGCACAAGACAGCCCTCAGCCCTGCTCAGCAACACAGGGATGTGACCAGCATGCCCAGAACTATGGGGAGCCCCCAAGACTGCACCTCCCACCTGACAGGAACAGCTGTGGAGAACCACATGAAGAGGAGGGAGGGAAGGAGAGAGAGAAATAAAAAGAAAATTCTGTTCTTTGGATGAAAAGTCTAGCTGGCTACAGGTAAGACCCAGGATTCTGCTCTGCCTTTTCTGGTTTAAAAAGCCACCTGCAATATTTTGGGGTCTATAAAATATTTCTGAACACTTATAAGTAGAATTGCTGATGTTGTATCTGTTGCAACAGGAAAGACTAGCACCCCTGCCCACAAACTTGCACCTTTCCTGATGCAGGAGAGGATACCCAAGGAGCACACACTCCTTATACACTTGACATGTGGTGTGTCAGCTGTCACAGTTGTGTTATTAGTGCCATTTTAATGTTCGCAGTCTCAGCCATAGTGATTCAGCTTATGGCTTTATGATGCATTTCTCTGAAAGAGGTGAGGGGTGGGACATGAAAACTGTTTTATCTCTGTGTGTTTTGTGACACCAAGTAGGGAAGAAAAGCCATGTGTCTGGTCTTGAAAACACAGTAAAATTGGCCCACGGGTGCTATTAAAGCTGAGATTAGTTCAGAAATCCAGTGATCCACACCCTCCCCCCCATGGCAATTAGGACTGTCCTGATGTCCCATTAAGCTTCCTGTTCTCTATGTGGGTGGGAGAAAAAATATTCATGTAATGAACGTACGTATCTGCTCTTCAAGGAAATAAAAATTAATTTGGATTAGGAGAAAAAATATTCTGTTTGTCCTTATTCTTACCTTCCCTGCATGGGGACAGGACTGAAATCTTTCCCCAGAGCAATGCAGCCATCCTCCCCTATTGCTGTTTTTTCACACAGGGTCTGTGGCTCTCCGAGATTCGCTACCATGCCATGATACTCTTTTAATAGCCGCAGCTCATTGCAACTTCTGGTCATGGGTTTGGCTGCCACCTTTGGAGATAAACTGGTTTGATGTAAAGATGTCTGATTCAGTTCCATCTCTTGTTGTCTAGAAATTGTACTGTCATTTTTGTTATCCAAGTACATCTGTCCCTGGGGGGTGGTCTCCTAAAGAAAGTGAAAACAAATATATTAGGACTAAATTGAATTGACTCAATGTTTGCTTCAGTATAAGCATGTTAAAAATGCCAAGCAGAAGATTTTTTGTGCACCTTTGGATATTTCTCTTGTTCGTTTATTTCCACCAGGAATAATTCCAGTGTTTTAAACATCTTTGCAACTTCAAAATTAGCCATTATAAGAAGCATTGAAATACATAAAGAGATGGGTCGTCTTCTTTTTCCATGTCTACTATGATTTTCTCCCACAAATTTCCCAGCAACTTGCACTGGCCTATCCCACAGAATAAGCCAAAACCATGTCCGCAGCAGAGGCACAGGAGCCACTGGTGTGAAACATCTTCCCAGCTTATAACAGCACTGCTTCACCATCATGACACCGATTTTCTCCGGCAGCGCCGCCGAAGCCACCGCTTTCCTCCCAGCCCTCGGGCTCCCTTGGAAAGCCCTGTCATGCTGAAGCTCTGCCACAGCTGATGGCCCCTCGTTAAGCAGAGCAGGTACTCAAGTTTTATGAAGACAACGTGCCATTTCAGCAGTTGCCAGAGGCATTTATGAAATGTGAATCAAACCTTGATGAAAATTAGGTTCTATTATATGATTATTAACAGTGATTATAATAAAACTTAGTGCATAATAGTCAAAAAGCTTTTATGCTCTTATCATTAAAATTCATCATGAAAAGTTATAAAAAACACTTCAGAATCCGACAAAGTGCACAAATCAGACACAAAGACTGAGTTAAAGATCAGCCTGTCTTAAATGCATGCTGTGGAGTTTAATCACGGGAATATTTCAGTGTAAAGTGCCAAAGCCACCGCAGAGGACAGCAACAGCTCAGGAAACAGGCCCGTCAGCCTCCGATATCCCTGCGGCAGGGGAGAGCAGCCTTGTCGGAGCACACACCTGCTCCTCCCTGCAGAGATCTCAGCACAGGACACCCAGGTAGACCTGCAGAGCTATGGGCAAAAATAGCACAGTAATAGGGAATAGGGTCTGCTTTGGTCCCAGTAGGAGAAATCACTAGAAACAGAAACAACAAAAAGCTAACGATGATTTTGTGCAGCTTTGAGCTCTCATGGCCTTGCAGGCTAGAAGGAAATAGAGGGTCCTGAGGAAAAAGACTGGACACACAAGTCACCACAAATGCAGGTCTTGGCTCCAAGCAAAGGCGTGCTTGCTAGCCAAATCTAAATCAGAATTTCCCCAGGTGGCATTTCCTTCCCCAGTCCTGCATTTCTTTTTCTTTCTATTCCCAGTGCCCTTAGTTCTCATATCCTGATCTTCTTCACCTGTCCTTACAAGCAGATTGACAAACTTGACTCTTCCCATCATTACACAATAGCTGGATGTATTGGTTTTATGTGGCAAGGTTTTGGTAGCGGGGGGGGTTACAGGGGTGGCTCCTGTCAGAAGCTGCTGGAAGCTTCCCCTGTGTTCGAGAGAGAGCGAGCCCATACCAGCCGGCTCTAAGACGGACCCGCCGCCGGCCAAGGCCGAGCCAATCAGTGATAGTGGTAACACCTCTGTGATAACATTTTTAAGAAGGAAAAAAAGTTGGGAGAGTGAGAAACAGCCGCTGGAGAGAGGAGTGAGAACACGTAAGAGAAACAAGCCTGCGGACACCAAGGTCAGTGAAGAAGGAGGGGGAGGAGGTGCTCCAGGCGCCGGAGCGAAGATTCCCCTGCAGCCCGTGGGGAAGACCATGGTGAGGCAGGCTGTCCCCCTGCAGCCCAGGGAGGTCCACAGTGGAGCAGATCTCCACCTGCAGCCCGTGGAGGACCCCACGCCGGAGCAGGTGGGTTCCCGAAGGAGGCTGTGACCCCGTGGGAACTCCGCGCTGGAGCAGGCTCCTGGCAGGACCTGCGGATCTGTGGAGAGAGGAGCCCACGGAGCAGGTTTTCTGGCAGGACTTGTGACCCCGTGGGGGACCCGCACTGGAGCAGTGTGCTCCTGAAGGACTGCACACCGTGGAAAGGACCCACGCTGGAGCAGTTCGTGAAGAACTGCAGCCCGTGGGAATGGCCCACGTTGGAGAAAGTTCGTGGAGGACTGGCTCCCGTGGGTGGGACCCCACGCTGGAGCAGGGGAAGAGTGTGATGAGCCCTCCCCCTGAGGAGGTGAAGCGGCAGAAAATAACGTGTGATGACCGTAAACCCCATCCCTGTCCCCCTTGTGCCGCTGGGGGGGCTTGGTGGAGAAATCCGGGAGTGAAGTTGTGCCCGGGAAGAAGGGAGGGGTGGAGGGAAGGTGTTCTGAGATTTCGTTTTATTTCTCATTTACCTTACTCTGGTTGATTTGTAATAAATTGAGCTAATTTTCCCTAAGCTGAGTCTGTTTTGCCCGTGACGGTAATTAGTGAATGATCTCTCCTGTCCTTATCTCAACCCACAAGTTTTTTGTTATATTTTTCTCTCCCCTGTCCAGCTGAGGATGGGGGAGTGATAGAACGGCTTTGGTGGGCACCTGGCGTCCAGCCAGGGTCAACCCATCACACTGGAGTACTGCATCCAGTCCTGGTCCCCACCATTCAAAAAAGATGCAGACAGACTGGAGGGAGTCTAAAGGAGAGCCACAAAAGTAATCGAAGGGTTGAAGAATCTGCCCTATGAGAAAAGGCTGAAGGAGTTACGTCTTTTCTCCCTGGGGAAGAGAAGGCTCAGGGGGACCTCACTGCAGTATTCCAGTACTTAAAGGGTGGCTACAAAGAGAGCAGGCTCTCTCTTCACAAGGAGCCACATGGAGAAGACAAGGGGCAATGGGTACAAGTTGCACAACGATAGGTTTCATCTCGATATAAGAAATAAATTTTTTATAGTGAGAGTCACTGGAACAACCTCCCCAGGGACGTGGTAGAGTCCCCATCGCTGGAGGTTTTCAAGACGTGACTGGACAGGGTGCCAGATAATCTCATCTAGGCTCCCTTTCCCACAAAAGGTTGCACCAGATCATCTTTCGAGGTCCCTTCCAACCTGAGCTGTTCTATGAGTCTATGAGTAGCAGCTTGGAAAACATCAACCTAAATAAGCCTTTGCTTACTTGTTCTTTCTTGGTTTTCTTGAAAGGAAGAAAAAAAGAAAAGGAAGGTAGAGAGATTGTGGTGAATTACTGAAAGAAAGAAGATGGCAGCTATTGGCTTCACAGGGCTCCCATTTTTAGACATGGCTGACATACATCAAAAAACACTGAAGACACTTCAATTTTCAGTGGATAACACCTCTCCCCTAGATATTTCCATAGAGGGACAAGCCCTTTCATCACCTGGTGTAAGGAGCACAAGCATGGCTGATGTAACACCAAACACACTGTCATTGAGCTGGTCCAGGGCTTCTCCACGGCCTTGAAAGCACTGAATTTTGGTGATCCAAGGCAAAATCCTGAGCGAAAGTCCTGGAAAGCTAGGCTTGCCACTCCTGCACTGTGGGATCTGAGGCTGGAGGTGTTGGGAGGGCCAACGCACACGACACAGGGCCCACCACTGCCCCACCAACATCTTCTTGTCACCTCTGGTAGCCTGCTGCCCTACCAGGCAGCCAGGTTTGCCTGTTCTAAAATCCCAAACTGCCTTCCTTCCTAATAAATAACTTTGAAATGCGTATTTCCAACTCCGAGTGCAACAGATAATTGCTCTTGTCTTCAATCTCATTTTATATGTTTACATACTGGTTTTATTAAGACACTCTCTAAATCATAATTGAGATATCTGCTCATTTATTCCATTTTTCATGACATTTGGTTTGCCTGAGTGCCTGCTGTGAAAATACACAGATTTTTAAATGATATCAGGCTGTGGAAACATGAACAGTAAACCTACAGCAACTCAGGCTGTACTAGTTTTTAAAACATGAGAACCTGAATACAATCTCTAAAATTGATCCTGTCGCACCCCGAAAGTGGGAAATTTTTATTTTGAGGTGAGTAAGGACTAAATTAGCCAAGCTTTCATATGTACACAACATTAGCATGAAAGACATTTATTTTCAGAATTAACATCAGTGAAAAAATAAAAGGATGCCAAGGACAAGAAGCTTGAGAGAAAATACAATGCCTGGATACAAAACTATAAACCACATTATTGCACATACACAAAAGCTTTGCAAAAAAATAAAATAATACAGCATCATTTTGCCACAAGAGACAAGTTTGACTGTGATTACCTACGTAGCTAAAACATTGCTAAGGCAACTATCACCATGGTATCTAAGCTTCTAAGACATCGGTACATTTACCATTCAAGAAATTCTCAAATGATCACATTTCTCTCTAGTTACAGAACTTTTCTTCACTTTTATTCCTTTTTCTGATCTTGCAATGCCTCCATCAGGAATGGGACATAGGTGAGATGTTATGATGTGAAGGTGAGAAGAGATTTTAGCCAAGGGAAGTTCATTTTGGGTTCATCTCTCTGGAGCCATGTACCAGCAAGGGATTTTTAGCTGATTTTAGAATTTTAGAAATTGATCCAGCAACCACCCATCTGGAGTTTAACTATAAAAGGGCTAATACAGTATTTAAGCCATGTTTCTTATCCCTTTTCATGCTTTCATCCCAGTACAAGCAGTTGAACATCCACTTTTAAAGTACTAGTACAGAATTCTTTTGTTTTCAACTTTTCAGGTGCTAATAAGATCAACAGGGTACGTTATTTTATTTAAGAGGCTTTGCGTAGCCTGCTTTTTGGTTGCAAAACAAAATGCTGGAGGCAAATGATGTAGCTGGTAATACATCATCATTTAAAACTTTATTCTCCTGGGTATCAATAAGCACAACATAGCATTTTTGCAATCAAAAAATGAAGCAGAATTTAATCTCAGGGGCCATGAGACTACGAAATATCACAACTGCTCCAGGTAATGCCCAGAAATAGCATGTTTCCTGTCTGGCACATCTTATTATCCATCAAAGCCTTTCTCCCACCAAGACTGGAAAAAAACATTACCTCTGCACTAAGTCACCTTCCCATTATCA